CAGGTGGTCCTTCGCCGATGCACTTCAGTGTTGTTTTCTGATGGCATCCCACGTAGTCCACCCAGCCGTGGTGCTTGTAAGTACGTAGCGCTTGGCCCTTGCTTCAACACCATACAGGGTGCTGCCTAGTGTCTCTGCTCGCTCACTTCGCCCGGTTTTCTGTGTTGGCGCCGTTTTGGCGACACTCAGCTGCCTCGAATTTAGTACGTGTACTGTGCATGTGCAACTGCGAGCTCGCTTGCAGGTGCGGTCCGCTGCCTACAGTGGCGGCTGGATCGCCAATTTACAATGCGCCGTGGCCCGGACGTTGTGACCGCTTCCTGGGGTCTTCCTTGGAGCCGCCGAGTTAAAAAAAGTACACTCGCCTTTGCGGCTTACGCGCCGCTTTGGCCAATTTTCTACGGCTTGAACCCCAGTCAATTATCCCGTTTCTTGACACTTGTCCTGGAACCGCCAACCAAAAAGTACCCCCACCAACTCATCGGTAAACTCATCACCACGTGTTTGCTTTCCTGCTCTTCGGGCACTCTGTGGCCACGCTCGTGTGCAAGGTCTTCGTGTTCGGCGCGCTCTTCTGCCGCTTACCGCCTGGTCGGATTCGCGGCCTCTAGCGCGCCATCCCTCATTGTTTCCCCTTCGCTACCGACGCGGCCCGCCGCAGCAGGCCCGGCGTTCGACCCGTTTCGCGCGCCCGCGGACCAAAAAGTACCCCATCAGCCCATTCAGACACCCTGCCCATGAGAGTTGACGGGAAGAGGGACGAAGGGACACGAGTAGTGAAACAGAGCGGGCGCATTTGGGGTGAGCAGAGGGGTCTTTGTGAACAAGGAGGTGGCCTTGGAGGGCCTCTTCGGGCCATCCTTGGGGCCCACGTGGGGCCAAGGGAAGGAGGAGCAGGTGGAGGAGGAGGAGGAGGAGGAGGAGGAGGAGGAGGAGGAGGAGGAGGAGGGGGAGGAGGAGGAGGAGGAGGAGGAGGAGGAGGGAGACGACGACGACGACGACCACGACGACGAGGAAGAGGAACAGTAAAAGGAAAACGATGAGGGCAAGGACGATGACGAGGACGAGGCCGAGGAGGAGGAGGAGGCGGAGGAGGAGGAGGAGGAGGAGGAGGAGGAAGGAGGAAACCAATGAAGACGAGGACGGAGTCCTCAAGATCGTCTCTTGGAGCTCTCTTGTCTTTTGGGGAACCTTGGTATCCTCTTTGAGCTCTTTTGGGGGTCTTGGGGCCATCTTGGGGCCTTTTTGAAGCCCTCTTGGGTGTCCCTTGGGAGCCGTCGAGGGCCTCTTGGGGCCATCTTGGAGGCCATCGATCAAAAGGTAGGGGGTCCTAAACTTGCCACTCCCCCTTGGCCATCAAACTCGCCTCTTGGGGCGCTCTTGGGCCGATCGTGGGCCCTCTTGAGGCCGTTTCGTGGACCTCTTGGGCCTTTCCTGGAGCTTTCTTGGGCCATCCTGGCACAATCTTGAGGCTTCAAGAGCGCATTGGAAGCGGAAAGGCGAGAAGGCGCACACATGTTGTTTTCTTTTGATGTTTGAAGGGTTTGGGGCCTCTTGGGGGGGTCCTGAGAGGGCTCCGAGAGCACTTGAAACCGTCTTGTGGCCCTCGTCCGGCCTGTTGGAGCCATGCCGGATTTTATCTTGAACCATCTTCGGCTATCTTGAGCCGCCTTAGAAACCATCTTGAAGCATCGGAGGCCCTTTTGGAGCCATCTTGGGCCATCTTGGACGCTCTAACCGATCGCGGCCCGCCACAAAAAGGGCCGCATCTCTTGCTGCGAGCCGAAGCTAGGCAGCCAACGCCTGGCTGGGTACCCGCTTTGCACCAACGCCAACGCCCGGCTGGGTGCCCGCTTTGCACTCCGCAACCTGACCGTGCACCCCACGCTCAGCCTTCCCTTGGCCTGTGGGCGGACATGGATTAGGAGAGGAAAGGACACACAGACACAAATAATCGTCGATTCCCAGGAGAATCTGGGGAAATATTGGAAGTGTGGGGGGGGAAGCGAACGACAACTACAACAACAACAACAACAACAACAACAATCATTTTACCCGAACGCTCAGTGTTCTCCCCAGTGCCAGGGTTTTCATGCGACGCCAGCCAATACCCCCACTTCGTGGGGGGGCAATGCAAGCTCTACCAAACATCCACACGACTCTCGGGAACCACCCACACCCAGCTTCCCGCCCTATGACGTCAGGACACTTCACTTCGTGGCGCGCGGACGATCGTGGATACTACACTGGCGTGGAGTACACACCCGCAGAGGTTGATCACTTGTTTGGGCCCCGCATGTGCCCCGCATGGTGCATTTGTTGCGTATGACATACATAGTACAGAGAGACAGAGAGAGAGAGAGAGAGAGAGAGAGCAAGACAGAGAGCCAATGGGGGCCTCTTGGAGTCCTCTTGGGGCCTCTTGGGACCATCTTGGGCGCCTCTTGCGGCCTCATGGGCGCCTCTTGGGGCCATCTTGAGCGCCTCTTGGGGCCATCTTGGGTTTTAAAGATTCATGAAGAGCCCGCGGGTGGATTTTGATATTTTTCGGATGAGAAAGTCTTGCGTTTGCATATGTTTTCGGAACATCGCATCTTGAAATTATTGAAATCACATTATGTTTGGCAGGATTTCGGCACGCGCGCGCGGCGGCCGCGCGCATGTGCACTTCGTGTCATTTTTTGCAAGGGATGGTGGCCCTCGTAGGCTCGCAACCGTTGTTGCAGAAGGTCGAAGCACCTGAAAAGGTTCCTCGCAAAGGCCCTTTTAACAGAAATGTTTAAAATCTGGTGGGTTTCCTAGGAATCCGCAAGAGCGCGCGGAAGGACATTTTGACAATTTTTTCTGAGAAAACCATTGGGTTTTTGATGTTTTTATGTTAAAATCGTTACGAAACCTAAGGTTTTGGAAGGATTTCGTCTTGCGCGCACGAATGTCCACTTTACCTTATTTTTTGCAAGGGATTCTTGCAATTTGATCAAGTAAGAACAAGAATTTTCATTTTCTATTGTTTTTTGCAAGGGAAAACGAGCGTCAACAAAAAACCGGATCCGGAGCTCATCCACTTTTCTGAAGCTTTCGCGAAAAAATGATGAAAATGTAGCTGCGGCCTAGGCGCGGCGCAGAGGTCGCGCACCAGGGGTCCCAACAATAATAATTCTTTAGAAGGAATAATGTTCAACAACAATTACTAGCACGTGGGGACACTCCGTTCTCACCAGTGCCAGGGTTTTCATAGGAGGCGGGCAATACCCCCACTTTGTGGGGGGGCCGGTTCAAGCTCTACCAAATTTCCAAACGACTCTTCGCCACCACCCACACCCAGCTTCCCGCCCTATGACGTTCGGACACTTCACTTCGTGGCATGCGGACGACCGTGGCTACTATTCAGGGCCCCGCGGCCGACGACGACGGCGTGCGCGCGCGAAGAAAAAACGAATGTGTCCCGCATGGTATTATTTGACAGGGATGATGGCCCTGGCAGGTGCGCAACCGTTGTTGCAGAAGTTCGAAAAAGTTGCTCGCAAAAGCCCGTTTGACAGAAATGATTAAAACGTGTTGGGTTTCCTACGAATCCGCAAGAGCGCGCGGGATGAAATTTTGACAATTTTTTTCAAAAACCATTGGTTTTTTGATGGTTGTATGTTAAAATCGCTACGAAAACTAAGGTTTTGGAAGGATTTCGTCTTGCGCGCGCGAATGTTCACTTTACTTTATTTTTTGCAAGGGATTCTTGAAGTTTGGTTATGTTAGAACAAGAAATGTCCACTTTAGCTTCTTTTTTTTTTGCAAGGGAAACCCGATCGTAACAACACAACCGGATCTGGATGACATCGTTTTGACTGAGACTTCCTCACGAAAATAATGAAAATGAGGCTGCGGCCTAGGCGCGGCGGGGGGGCCATGCACCAGGGGCCCCAACAATAATTATTCTTTAGAAGTAATAATGTTCAACAACAACAACAACCACCACCACCACCACCACAACAACAGCAACAACAACAACACAAACAAAAACGGATGGTGAATCCTGGGATGTGTGTGGATTTATTTGTATGGTTTTGGGCCCCTTCAATGGACGGGGACGGCGGCGGCGGCGGGCACTTCAACAAATACAGCGCCTGAACCTTCTCGGCTGCGTGCGTTTTTCCGCGCTATTCCATCTCTCCTCTTCATCCTCCTCTTCCTTCCCCCTTCCTCCTCCTCGTCCTCCTCCTCCTCCTCCCGCTTCTGCTCCTGCTTCACCTCTTCCTCCTCCTCCTCCTCCTCCTCCTCCTTCTCCTCATCCTCCTCGTTCTTTCCTGTTCAGTAATCGCGCTGTTTGCCAGCTCTGGGCCTTCCTCCTCCTCCTCCTCCTCCTCCTCCACTTCCCCTTCCTCCTGCTCCTCCTCTTCCTCCTTCTCCTCCTCCTTTCCCGTTTAGTAGATGCGCTGTTTGCCAGCTATGTGCCTTCCTCCTCCTCCTCCTCCTCCTGCTCCTCCTGCTCCTCCTCCCTCCTCCTCCTCCTCCTCCTCTCCACTTCCCCTTCCCCCTGTTCCTCCGCCTCCTGCCCTCCTCTCCTCCTCCTCCTCCTCTCCTCCTCCTCCTCCTCCTGCTCCTCCTCCTCCTGCTCCTCCTTCTCCCCCTCCTCCTCCCCCTCCTCCTCCTCCTCCTCCTCCTCCTCCTCCTCCTCCATCTCTCCTGTTCAGTAGACGCGCTGCTTGCTAGCTCTGTGTCGCCAGATGCCTATTTTGTGCTGTTGCACCCCTTGACAGATTGGTACACCCGTGCCACCTTGCCCGGGCCCTCGCGTCTCTCTGCGGCAAGTCGGATGTCTTCCTCCTCCTCCTCGTCCTCTTCCTCCTCCTCGTCCTCTTCCTCCTCCTCCTCCCTCCCTGTAGCAATTTGGTTCAGGCCGTTTCTGTTCAGGCCAGGAGTTGCGTGTTTAAACCCAAGCCGAGCGAAAACGCTTCCCAGGATGCTCGCGCTGAGCGTTGAAACGTCACGCGTGCTTTCCCTTGATGCATGCTAGCTGTCGACGATATCGACCAGCCGACCCCTACCTCAAAGAGGCCATCAAGGTGTGTGAGAAGACAAACGAGCGGACTTCAGCGCTGCGGTCGTTCCGCGAATCTGTCCAACTGCGTTTGAACCCAAGCCTGGGCGACTATGTTGCCACTATCGGCGAATGTGGGAATCGCAGACATTGGCAACGGGCTGTGTGGCTTGTCAGCGAAATGGTCGAAGCGATGCTTGAATCTAGCGTCAAGGGCTGCAACGCTGGGATCAGCGCATGCGGGAAAGCCAAGCAGTGGCATCAGGCTGTGCGGTTGCTCAGAGAGGCACGGGAGGAAACATTGGAGCTCAACGCCATCTTTCCTACAACGCCTAGACCACCGCTCGTGGATCCCGGTCGGTGGCAACGGACTGGCCCCCCCCCCCCCCTCGGGCCGCTCTGGGAAGGCCCCCAGGACCCCGGGCCGCTCTGGGCGGCCAGCGGGGCCGCCGCGGTGCCCCGATCGCGCAGCGGACCGTTCGAGATCGCCGAAGGTCGCGGCGGCACGCCCCGCAGACGGCTCCAGGGTAGCACCGGGCGCCCCGAAGCCGCCCCAAGAGGCTCCCAAGAGGACCCGCAACACGCAACAAATTGTTCACTCCTGAGGGAAAACGTGCATTTTTGGCATACTCGCTTTCTGGGTCGGCACAGCTTCCAGATGGCCGAAGCGGACCTCCAACACGGCCCAAGATGCCCCCAAGAGGACTCCAAGACGGGCCAAGCAAGCCCCAAGACGGCCTCGGAGAGCCCCCAGACGGGCCCAAGAGGGACCCCAGAGCGCCCCGAGAGGCCCCCAAGAGAGCCCCGAGAGGGCCACAGGAAGCCCCCAAGGCTCCAAGAGGGCCCCTAGACGGGCCGAGCCCTGCCAGACGGCCCAAGAGTGCCCCAGGATGTCCCAAGAGAGCCCTCAGATGGCCCAAAAAAGCCCGATAAGGAGCCCTCAAGAGCCTCCCAAGAGAGCCCCAGTGGGCCACGGGATACGCCGCCAAGCGCTCTACACGGAGAGCGCTCTACACGGAGACGCCGTAGGGCACGCTCCTCCGCGAGGACGTCGCGACGTGCACCCGCGAGGACTTCGCGACGTGCACGCCAGACGGCGTCCTGTCGGGCCGCCGCCCGCCGCTGAGGAGAAGGACGAGGACGAGGACGAGGGGGAGGAGGAGAAGAGACCCCACAAAAGCGTCCCCAGAAATATCCAGGACTTTCTGGCGGCGTAAATGGGGCTTTTTTTAGCTGCGGGATTGCCATTATGTTCAGGCGCTGCTGACATTGTCGCCTTCCCCACCCCTCCTCATCCTGCACGCCTCTCCTGACCCCGCACAGTTCTGGATCCAGGCGCACCTCCACCTCTCTCCGCCGGCTCCTCGCTTTCTTCTTCCCTTCGCCTCCCTCTGCTCGCCTTCGCTAGATCTTCCCGCCCCCCTCGGCTGATTAGGGGTGACAGAGGGGACCTTCGCTGTCTCTCCTACAACGGCAGGGCCAGCGCTCGCGGAGATGCCGATTGGTGGCAGCGGACCGGCCCCTTCCGGCGGCTCCTGCGAGCCCCTGCAGGCCTCGGAGTTCGGCGCACTTCAAGACGGCCCAGGAGCGTTCCGAGACGCCCCAGGAGGCCCCCGAAAGGGCCCCCAGACGACCGAAGACGGTCCAAGAGGGTCTCCGAGACGCGCCCAGAGCGCTCGTCAACGCCTCAGACAGCCTCCAAACGGCACAGGAGGCTTCCAAAGTGCTCCACGTGGGCTCCGCGACGAGCCCCAAGAGAACCCGAACGCTGGAAAATCGTTCCGTTCGCTAGGGAAAACATGCATTTTCGCAGTTCCCAGGCTTGCCCTTCATAGCGTCCAAGACGGCCATACAGGGTCCCAAGATGGTCCTAGGACGGCTCCTGAGGCGCCCCTGGCGGCCCACGGGGTATCCAAGACAGCCTCAAGAGCGGCCCATGACGGCCCCAGACTGTACCCAGACTGCTCCAGAGACGCCCAAGACGGCACAGACAAACCGAGACAGCCCAAGAGGGCCCCAGAACGCTTCCAGGAAGTTGAAAAGGAGCGCCGAGAGGCTCCTAAACGATCCCCAGAGGCCCCAAGATGACGGCCCAAGAAGCACCGAAGACGGCCCCAACAGCAGCCAGTGACGGTCTGAGACGGCCCGAAGATGGGCCCATAATGGCTCCAAGCGCACCATGGGGCTCCTCGGCCCTCCTGACGCTTGTTTGGCGCTCCCTGCCAGATTTGGCCCAAAATCCTTGCCGTTTTTGTCGGCGTGGAGACCTTTCCGCGGCCTCTTGGGGCCATGCCGTGTTTCGCTCTTGCAGCCCATTCGGGGGTCTCTCGGGCCAGCATGGGGCCATGAGGGAGGCGTCCAACGCGATCGTGGGCCGTGTGGGGTCGTTTTGGGGCCGAGGTCCCAAATGATGTCTGGGGCCATTTGGGATGCGTCTGACGCGATCTTGGGCCGTTTGAGGCCGACGTTCCAAATCAGTTGGCGACGATGATGATAATGACGATGGTGATAATGACGATGAGAATGGTGATGATGATTATGATGATGATGATGATGATGATGCTGCTGCTGCTGATGATGCTGATGCTGATGCTGATGATGTTTACGGTTGTGGTGATGGTGATGGTGAGGATGGGGATGAGGATGGGGACGTGGATGAGGATGATGATGATGATGATGATGATGATTATGATGTCGGCGATACTGATGATGCGGATGATGATGATGACGATGATGGTGCTGATGATGATACTGATGATGATGACGTTGATGATGATGATGATGATGATGATGATGATGATGATGATGATGATGATGATGATGATGATCATGATGCTGATCATGATGATGATCATGATGATGATGATGATGATGATGATGATGATGATGATGATGATGATGATGGTGCTGCTGATGATGAGGAGCAGGAGGCAGGAGATGACGATGAAGACTCTCAAGAGCGAAGGGTGCCACGAGTCATCTCGAAGCAGTTCGTGACTCCGTGCCTGGGCTCCGCATGGGGCTATTCGGCCTCCCTGACGTTTGCTTGGCGCTGTACTCTGGATGTGGCTCAAAATCCTTATTACGTTTGGTCGGTCACGAGCTCTCTCCCAAGCCTCTTGGGGCCCTGACGTGTTTCGCTCTCGCAGCCCTCCTAGGGGCCTCTTGGGCCATTACGGGGTCATCTTCGAGCCGTTTTGGACGATCTTGGAGCAACCTTGGGGCCGTCTCGGGCCGTATTGTGCCGACGCTCCCAATGTTGTGACGACGACGATGATGATAATGCTGGTGATCATGGTGATTATGACGGTGTTGATGATGTTGATGTTGCTGATGCTGATGGTGATGATAATGGTGGTGATGATGATGACGACGACGGTAATGATTGTGATGGTGCTCATGCTGATGCTGATGATGATGCTGTTCATTACTCTGAAGGTGGTGATGATGCCGACGATGGTGATGATGATGATGATGATGATGATGATGATGATGATGATGATGATGAACGTGATGTTGTTGTTGATGATGATGGTGGTTTCGATGATGCTGTTAATGCTGATGTTGATGCTGATGCTGCTGCTGGTGATGGTGACGATGATGTTGGTAATGATGGTGATGCTGCTGATGCTGATGATGTTGATAATGGTGATGATGATGCTGATCACGATGCTGGTGATGATGCTGCTGCTGATATGATGATGATAGTGATGATGATGCTGCTGATGATGATGATGATGGTGATGATGGTGATGATGATGATGCTGATGCTGATGATGATGATGATGATGATGATGATGATGATGATGATGATGATGATGATGATGATGATGATGATGATGATGGTGAAGGGTCCCAAGAGCGAACAATGCCATCAGTCATCTCGCCACAGTTCCTCACTCCGAGTCTGGGCTCCGCATGATAGCATGACGCCGTTTATCCTGATCGCCTTGCGGCAGCACCCCTTCACCCCACACGTGGACGTAGTCCACGGGTCAGTCCTAGTCTCTTCTCTAGGGCGGACATCAGCGCGTGCCAGAGCGTCAAAACAGCGCATGTGGACCGATGCGCCCCCTGGAGGGCCATTTCTCGACACCCCTCACGCAGATCCTGGCCCTCGAGCGTCACACATCGAGCCTTCCGCCCAAATACGCGCCGACGTGGCCATAAGAGGCTCCAAGGAGCGTCCAAGAGGCCCCCTAGAGGCCCCCACCAAGGCCCTAGAGGCCCCCTAGAGGCCCCGACCAAGGCTCAAGAGGCCTCCAAGAGCCTCCAACAGTCCTCCGAAGCATGTCTCCCGAGGCCAAAATCTTTATCTTTCCATGGTTTTGGAAGGAGTTCTGCCTGCTCGCCTTCTCGGCTAGCCGACGCTCCAAGACGGCCGAAGAGACCCACAAGACCGCCCCAGGACGGCCCAACAGGCCTCCAAGCGCGTCCCCAGACGGCCCAGGGAACCCCAAGATGGCCCAAGAGACGCCCAAGACGGCCCCAGAGGACCTCAAGCCAGGCCCAAGAGGGCGCCAAAGAACGGGAAAACACCCTGACACTCCGAGTCCTGGGCCCCCATACGCCCACGTAAGGCCCCAAGGCCCCCCCAAGAGGCCGCCAAGAGCCTCCAAGAGTACCCCGACGCATGCCCCCAGAGACCAAGATCCTTCATTCCTCCATGGTTTTGGAAGGAATTTTGCCTCCTCGCCGGCTAGCCGACGCTCCACGCCGGCCGAAGAGAACCACAAGACCGTCCCAGGACGGCCCAAGAGGCCTCCAAGCGCGTCCCCAGACGGCCCAGGGAGCCCCAAGATGGCCCAAGAGGCGCCCAAGACGGCCCCAGAGGACCCCAAGCCAGGCTCAAGAGGGGGCCAAAGAACGGGGAAAAACGTGTCACTCCGAGTCCTGGGCCCCCTATGCGCCCACGCAACGCCCCAAGGCCCCCCCAAGAGGCCGCCAAGAGCATCCAACAGTACTCCGAAGCATGTCCCTAGAGGCCAAAATCCTTATTTGTTCTGTGGTTGTTGAATGAGTTTTGCCTTCTCGCCTTCTCGGCTCGCCGACGCTTCAAGACGGCCGAAGAGACGCACAAGACCTCACCAGGACGGCCCAAAACCCCTGACACTCCGAGCCCTGGGCCCCCATACGCCCACACAAGGCCCCAAGACCCCCCCAAGGGAACGCCAAGAGGCCCCCAGAGGCCCCCAAGAAGCCCAAAGCAAGCCCCACGAGGCCCTAAGACGGCCCCCAAGAGGCCCCAAAGTTGCCTCCAAGAGGGACCCCAGAGGCCTCTGAGCCATTACCCAGGCACAGGCACGATGGCGGATTTCGCCGAAGGCCAT